ATGAGACTGGGATTGAAAGAGTTAGATGATGATGGATGTTCTCCAGCCAGGAAATGAGGTGGTGTCTGTTCGGCTTGCAGCAGTTTTTAATGTACACTGTGAGAAACTCACAGTATGCAGTGAAATCAGAGCAAGCAATTTCAGTATAAAGTGCAAGGCTGAGGGAAATGGTAGAGTGCAGCCTAATGCAAAAAAAGAGTTTTAGCTTAAGATACTTCAATGATTTCTAAGAAACCTATAATTTTTTTTTTCTTTGGCCTAGAGTTCATTTTTAAATCAGACTATTAAGAGTAGAAGAGAGTGTGATGTGTTCTTATCTGCCAGCGAGTGTAACAGAGCAGCCTTTGGTAGAGTTCCCGGGGACAGATTAGTATCCTTTTATACACATCTTAAGGGGTCTCCTGCTATGTGTTCCTTTCTTTCACAGTTCTCTGTCAGGAATGAGGTCATGGCTACCAGTCACGTCACCGATGAATGGATGAGACAGATGGACATGAGCAACTTGAACAGCTACATTGTGCGACGTTACATAGCAACACCCAATGGGGTGCTGCGGATCTACCCCGGCTCTCTCATGGACAAAGCGTTTGATCCCACCAGGAGACAATGGTGAGTCCCCTCTCTCATTACTTGTCATGCTGTACAATGTTACCGTCATTATCCTTCCAAACTATCTTTCCACTAATCCGTTTAGATTTTGTGTCACACCAGAACTTTTCCAATAAGAAAAATTTATCCTGCAGTGTTGCAGCGCCTAATGTATTATTAAATCACAGCGTGTTCGGCACATCTGTGTTTGAATTTTTTTTTTTCTTCTAGGAGATATTTATACCATATTATTTCTGAAAAAGTGACCTAATAATTGAAGAAATATATATATATATATATATTTTTTTTTTTTATTTTTTTTTTTTTTTTTTAATATATATATATTTATTTATATATATATATATATATATATATATATATTTTTTTTTTTTTTTTTTTTTTTAATATATATTTATTTATATATATATATATATATATATGTGTATATATATATATACATTTTTTTTTTTTTTTTTTATGAGAAGCTCTTAAATATTACTTACTATAACCAGTAAAACTTTTACCTAGTATTTTTGCTGAGGGTCCAGGGCCCGGTATCCTGAATAATGTCTGTGTCATAGGAGTAGGATGTCGGCATAGGAGTAGCACCAGCTGCATCATGGGAACGTAAAACTAAAAGAAAGTAAATCAATGAAATTATGTATTTGCTCTAAGCTTGAAACAATCATGGGCCAAACCAGAGAAATCACTTGATGCCCCATGGATGGATGAATCTGCAACATGGGCTATTGTATCCTGACAACCAGCACCTGTGGCTGCCAGAATACCCAAACAGTGTCTGCATTTGATAGGATGTAGGCGTTGTTTAGCCAAAGATTTTCCAACCAAAGGTCTGTGCTGAAAAACCCTGAGACATCCCTATTTTTGGGACCTCACTTTCTCCTTCTCCCACTCTGTTATCTGGGGTAATACTGCTTAATACTTTGGGATTGATTTACTAAAGGCAGTTAGACTGTGCACTTTGCAAGTGCAGTTGCTCCAGAGCTTATTAAATTAGCAGAAGCTCTGCTGGCTTCCATCATCCAATCATGTGCAAGCAAAAATGCTGTTTTTTTTTTATATTCCTCGCATTTGATTGGGTGTTCTTGGCAAAAGGAAGCTTTACCTCATTTACTAAACTCTGGAGCAACTGCACTTTGCAAAGTGCACAGTCTATTTGCCATTAGTAAATCAACCCCTTTTGTGTTTTTATGTGACCTTTGCTTTATGCTGCTTGTAGCAATTGCAGTCTAGGTTCTCCACTGTAGGGGGGCGCTTGTCTGAAGTGGAATTGCAGCTGAATGGGAAATTCGGGAGAAACTGGGTTTCTCTGTGAATACCTTGGTTCCCCGGAGCAGCATTCCGGTTGACTGCGCTGCATCCTGATGACCCTGGCAGCCATCTTGGGTCATGCAGAGTCCTTTTAAGTCCCTGCCCCCGAGTCTTGGTGCATTTGGAGAAGTTACTAGTGTAGGGACAGCACTAATGGCAGGGAGAGGATACGGAGGACTGTGGAAACCTCAGGGGACTACATCTGCAACACCAGCGAGCTCCCGTTTTAGGTCACAGCGGCCCGGCCGCACTCTGCCTTCCTTGACAGGGAAGCAATAGAGAGAAATCAAGCTGCTCCTCACTTAGTGTCTCTGCAACTGGTTTACAGTGTAGGTGCAACCCTTGTGTCTGTATTCCTTGGCAGCCAAGTGCAATAGATTTGTAAAGTTCTGAGACACGTTTAATAAAGGTGAGAAAGATTGTCACTCTAAATAGACGCTGCTCAGCTTTTATTCTGTCACATTGCCACATAATCTGTCTGCTTCTGGTTAGCATGGCCTTACTGTGTGACAGAATGGTCCCTCACTGTATTTTTGTTTTATTGAGGGCGTCTATATCTGACACATGAATCGTTGCAAAAAAGACATCATTGTTCATTATCTGATGTATATTTATCATTGCTTTTTAGGTATCTTCATGCTCTAGCTAATCCTGGGCTCATCACTTTTACTGGACCGTACCTGGATGTAGGAGGAGCAGGCTACGTGGTCACTATAAGTCACACTGTCCAGGCTCCCAGGTGAGGGTGCCCCTCGGTATGACATTGCCCAACTTTCTGAGATGACAGAGGGACCGAGGTTTATGGGCCCATATTACCATGCTAAATGCCTTTATCATACTTTCTTTGTTTCATATGGTGTAAAAACCAAAACATCGCTCCATGTATTAGACGTGTTTCCACATAAATTCAGACATCTACAATGGTTACTATCTGGGACTATTGACCAAATGGGAACAGAATAGACTGTGGAATGGATTTATTAAAACTGGAGAGTGAAGAATCTGGTGGCCAATCAGGTTCTAACTGCAGCTTGTTCAGTTACAGTTGCAAGAAAAAGTATGTGAACCCCTTGGGATTACATGGAGTTTTGCATGAATTGGGCATAAAATGTGCTCTGAACGTCATCTAAGTCACAATAGAAGAACACAGTCTGCTGAACATAATACTACACAAACATTAGACGTTGCCATGGTTTAATTGCACATATAAACATTCACAGTGCAGGGAGGAAAAAGTATGTGAACCTTTGGACTTAATAACTAGTTGACCCTCCTTTGGCAGCAATAACCTCAACCAAACGTTTCCTGTAGTTGCAGATCAGACCTGCACAACGATCTGGAGTCATTTTGGACCACTCCTCTTCACAAAACTGTTTCAGTGTAGCAATATTCTTGGGATGTCTGGTGTGAATCGCTCTCTTAAGGTCATGCTACAGCATTTCAATCGGGTTGAGGTCAGGACTCTGACTGGGCCACTCCAGAAGGCATATTCTGTGCTGTTGCAGCCATTGTTTTGTTGAATTACTTGTATGCTTTGGGTCATTGTCCTGTTGCATCACCCATCCTCTGCGGAGCTTCAGTTGGCGGACAGATGGTCGTACGTTTTCCTGCAAAATGTCTTGATAAACTCTGGAATTCATTTTCCCATGAATGACAACAATCCGTCCAGGCCCTGAGGCAGCAAAGCAGCCCCAAACCATGATGCTCCCTCCGCCATGTTTTACAGTGGGGATGAGGTTTTGATGTTGGTGTGCTGTGCCTTTTTTTCTCCACACATAGTGTTGTGTGTTCTTCCCAAACAACTCAATCTTGGTTTCATCTGTCCACAGTATATTTTGCCAGTAGTGCTGTGGAACATCCAGGTGCTCTTTTTCAAACTTCAAACGTGCTGCAATATTCTTTTTGGACAGCAATGGCTTCCTCCGTGGTGTCCTCCCATGTACTCCATTCTTGTTTAATGTTTTCCTTATTGTAGATGTGTCAACAAAAATGTTAGCATGTGCCAGAGATTTCTGTAGGTCTTTAGCTGACACTCTGGGATTCTTCTTTACCTCATGCAGCATTCTGCGCTGTGCTCTTGCAGTCATTTTTACAGGACGACCACGCCTAGGGAGAGAAGCAACAGTGCTAAACTTTCTCCATTTGTAGACAGTCTGTCTTACCGTGGACACATGAACATCAAGGCTTTTGGAGATACTTTTGTAACCCTTTCCAGCTTCATGCAAGTCAACAATTCTTGATCGTAGGTCTTCTGAGAGCTCATTTCTGCGAGGCATGGTTCACATCAGACAGTGCTTCTTGAAACCAGTAAACCCAAAACAGGTGTGTGTTTTTTTAAGGGCAGGACAGCTGTCAGCAACACATCCAATATCATCACACTGATTGGAGTCAAGGTTGGCTCACTCCTGGCTCCAATTATCTCTGGGAGAAGTCATTAAGCTAGGGCCTCACATACTTTTTCCTCCCTGCACTGTGAATGTTTACATGTTATGTGCAATTAAATCATGGCAACATCTAATGTTTGTGTAGTATTATGTTCAGCAGACTGTGTTCTTCTATTGTTGTGACTTAGATGACGTTCAGAGCACATTTTATGCCCAATTCATGCAAAACTCCACGTAATCCCAAGGGGTTCACATACTTTTTCTTGCAACTGTAATCTTTGGCAATAAAACCTTGAAGCAGATTGGTCTCTATGCGGAGCTGCACCAGATTTTTACAAACAACCCCCCCTTGGTTCATCTTCTCCAAGATGGTAAAAATGCTAATATGCCTTCTCTTTGAGACTGGTAATTCCCACAGGGCTAGACAGGCATTTTTACCTAGAGGCCTGTGTACACAAGTCTATAGAAATGCAAAAGCAGCTGGAGGCAGGTCAAATGCAGGTCAGAAGGACATCAGCTATAGCTCAGATGAATCTGTCAATGAAATCTGAATGATCTTAGAACTGTCTTAAACAGAGGTGAAACGCATGCTGCGCTTGTTCAACACAGGCCTAAAGCCTGTCAAGACACAGCCTAACACTTTTTCTTTTCAATGTTTTCAGCTCTCAGGTGTCAGCAGGTCATACAGTTGCTGTGATGGGCATTGATTTCACTCTGCGATATTTCTACAAAGTGCTCATGGAGCTTCTTCCTGTCTGCAACCAAGATGGTGGCAACAAAATTAGGTAGGAAAAACAAGGCAATGATGTGTCTGAAAAGTCCATTCTGTGGGGAAATCCAACTAACGTTGGGCAGCAGCCGTGCAGAGTAATAAGATGGAGATGGGATTTTGGCTTGTCAGTGTTTCCACTAACGATTTAATCATTAACCTCTTTGCGCCGGCCGCACGCAAATGTGTGGCCTCCCGATGCCTGGGCCTTGACGCCGAGCGGCCGCACATTTGTGTGCAGTTAAGAAAAACATATGTGCTGAGAACGCGCCCTGCACGCTCGCAGCACACATGTCCAGTATTCACAGAAAGGTCCTGATCTCCTCTTTCGATCGGGACCTTTCCCAATCTAGTGATGGCGAATCTCGGCAGTCACATGACCTTAAAACCCTGCCCCGCCTCCCGACTTCTGAAACCCCTAAAGGGCCGGAAGGCGCTGGCGCCAAGGGGATAAAGCAAGATGCAGTAACTCGCACCTACTAGTCAGAAATACATCTTTAGGTCCCATTCACATCTGAGCGATTTGTAGCTTGAAGCTCCAAAATGCTAAAGGAGGGAAAAAAAATCAAGTATTCTCAACGGAGATGGTTCCACATCTCCACTCCGAGTCGCCTGAAGCCAAACGCTTGAAGCTCAAACAAGTTCTGGAGCTCTTTATTTTGCTGTTCAGTTAGGCAGATTTGCCTGTTTTTGGAGCATTTTTAATTCTATAGAAATGAATGGAAACACGCGGTTTTCTCATGTTTTGACGTGCGTTTTGGAGCGTCTGCTTAAATGTAAAAATAAATAAATGTTACATAAAATAAATGCACAAATGAATAATAATCATAAATGGATAATATGTAATCATAAAAAATTAACTCCTAACCTTAACCCCCCTAACTTAAAAAAAAATAATAAATATAAATTAATAATATAATAAACACCCTAACCCTTCCAAAACAAAACTAAAAAAACAAATAATAGGATGACAATAAATTATTAACCCCTAAACTTAACCCCTAACCCTAGTGCTAACACCTAACCCCTAACTTGAAAGTCAAACCCCAACCACTAATCCTAACCCTAACACCTAACCTTAATGCTAAATCCTTACCCTAACAAAAAAATAATAATAAATGAATAATAAAACAATAAAAGCTGATGGAAAAGCTAAAGATGCTGATAAAACCTAGCAACAAATGAAACAGATGATATTTTTCTCTGTTGGCTAATAAAAAAAAAAAAAAAGATTAAAGCTCAAAAGTTCTGTACAAAAACGTGCGACAAAACGCCCTCAAAAACATGACACTCGGGTATGAATGCAGCCTTACCCATTTTACTTCCGTTAACCAAAAAGTGATTACCAGGCATCTCTGCACCTCATCCATTTTCATTTGGTTTTATTGTGTAAGCCTGCATGTATTTTAACCCCTGCACGCCGGATCGTCCTGGCATGAAGAGGAGTTCCTGCGCCGGGAGGTGGACGGGCTTAGTGTCATGTTGCCGCCGTGATGTCACGGCCGGTCACATGATAGGGAAAGGCCCCGATCGAAAGCGCGGACCAGGACCTTTCCGTGAGTACCGCACTCTCATCACATATGTTTTTTGTTACATGAACGCAAATTTGCAGGGCAGGGCTTAGTGTCATGGGGCCGCTGTGACGTCACGGCCGGTCACATGATCTTGAAAGGTCCCAATCGAAAACGCGGACCAGGACCTTTCCGTGAGTTTTGTTACATGAACGCAAATGACGGGGCGGGGCTTAGTGTCATGTGGCCGCCATGATGTCACGGCCGGTCACATGATCTAGAAAGGTCCCGATCGAAAGTGCGGACCAGGACCTTTCCGTGAGTACCGCACTCTCATCACATATGTTTTTTGTTACATGAACGCAAATGTGCGGCCGCTCGGTGTCTAGGCCCAGACGCCGGGAGGCCGCACATTTGCGTGCGGCTGGCGTGAAGGGATTAAGGTCAGTCCACATACACAACTTAAAGGAAGAAAATTGCCAAACCTTTTTTTGGCCTTTCGGAGACTCCAGCAGCAGACATGCAATCTCTATTTTCAGCTCTTTCCAACTGCCTTGACCATTACAAATGTTCACTCACTCTCTGAGAGCAATGTGTCTTCATACAAGGGGAGCTAGTTCTAGAAAACCTCCGCTGACTAAATCCCACCATTGGTGTTACCGAGAAATACAGCAGCCAAAAAGTGCATTGAAGTAAAGTAGTACAACACAAATGGCTGTCAGGGTGGAGCTTGATATTCATTTCTGATTCAAGTGCCACCCAAGTCCTGGGTGTTGAAATTTGTCCACTTTCACACTTCTGCATTCATTTGGCCTGTCTTTTTATCACACTGACCTCAACATTTCCTACAACTTTCAATCCAGGGCTTGAGTTTGACCCGCATTTCTTCTGTAGAGCGCACTGCGGGAACGTTACACAAAGCATCCAGCTCCCATTTGAACATGTTTTAAAGTGTACTAAAATTCACATATTTGTAACCTTTTCTGCTGCCAGGTCCGTACACCATGGGGGGGGGGGGGGGGGGTATACACAATCCAGTGGCTGAAGCCACCGGGATTGTGTATGAAAGCAGCTCCACTGCCGCCAATCGCTTCTACAGCCCCCGGTTCCGAGAGTGGAGAAAATGCCAAACAGCAGCCTTTGAGTTCATGAATTGTTCTAATGAGTTATAGTGAACACATTGGACTTTATTATTATTATTCAGGATTTATATATTGTACCTACAGTTTGCGCAGCACTTTATAAAAATGAAGGCAGACATTACAGTTACAATACAATTTGATACAAGAGGAAACAGAGGGCTCTGCTCATTAAAGCTCACAATCTAGGAGGAAGGGACTTTATCAATAAATACTAAATACAATAATATTTGTTTTTTTCCAACTTTGAAACGCCAGGAATACATAGAATCTGCTCTGGTAGATTATTCCATAATCCTGTTTCTCAGTTGACTGGAATAATTCCGCAAGTTTTTCTCCTGTGTCCTGTCTAGGCTGTTGGCTGTGCAATGCAGGACATTCTTTGCCTAAGTGCCCACATACCTTGAGCTCAGTCAACCATTCATGGGATTCTATTAACAAGGCAGAGCCATTCTTCAAAGAGATCTGGGCTGTGTGTGCTATAACTAGGTCTTGTTGCTCTGCCAGGTGCTTCATCATGGAGGACAGAGGTTACCTTGTGGCGCATCCTACCCTTATTGACCCTAAAGGCCACGCTCCAGTGGAACAGCAGCACATCACTCACAAGGTACTGCCATGTCAACCAATGACTCTTAAAGCAACATTGCCAAAAAAAGGGGCATTTGATGTACATATATGTGAAGAGTTGACAGCCACAATATTTGTTTTTCTGTTCAACCACTTTTGTGATTAATGCACTCCTGCCACACTGTACAACCAAAGGAATGATGACATATATTATTATTATTATAGAGGATTTATATAGCGCCAACAGTTTGCTCAGCGCTTTACAATATAACGGGAGACAATACAGCAACAATACAGTTCAATGCAAGAGGGTTAGGAGGGCCCTGATCCTGGGAGCTTACAATCTAAGACATTATTCAGAGGCAGCTCTGAGGTTTTCTGCATCACTTCTCTCTAAGCCACTTATCAACACACTGGCAAAACCCTGTCTGTAGCCTCCTCTTACTATGAGTTTCCCCACCAATCCCCAAAAACCTGATGACCGTGTTATGGAATGCAATAGAATCTGATTGGATTAGAATGCTTGTATTTATCTAGTCAGCCTTCACAATCTGTTGAAAGTTGCCCGCATTTTACTAGTGGGGGGGGTGTGGGGTGTATGAGCTTGTGGTAAATTAATTTGTATACCTAGTAAGCCACATTACCCCACTTAGACTTTTAAGAGATTTTTAATTTTTACGAAGAGTTATGGCTTGGCGCCTTGATATGACCAAATGTTTGTAGTCATCTGACTGTCACAGCTTTTTTATGAACTTTCTTTGACATACCATTCCAAAACCATATAATGATGGACACAACTCTTCTGGGAAGGCTTTCCACAAGATTTCAGAGTGTGCCTGTGCAGATACGTGACCGTTCAGCCAAAGAGCATTTGTAAAGTTGAGTACTGATGTTGGCTCACAGCATTCCAGATCTTCCCAAAGGTGTTCTATGGGGTTGAGGTCAGGGCTCTGTGCAGGCCACTTGAGTTCCTCCACACCAAGCTCCTCAACCCATACTTTTTAGAGCTGGCAGGGGCACAGTCATGCTCAAACAGAAAATGTCATTCTCCAGACTTGTTAATACAACGTTGGAAGCTCACAATTATCTAAAATATCTTGGTCTGTGTTAGTATTAACCACCTGCCAAATATACTGCGAGCGGGCGGCGGCAGGTCCAGGCACAATCACGTACCTCGGGAGATTCTTCCGGGTTCGGCGGCATGCATGTGTGCACCCTCTGCCTACCTGTGCAGTGTTTAGACACAGTGCGAATTTGGCAGCTGATTTCAGCCAATGATTTTTTGCTGAAGTCAGCTGATTGGCTGTGTCCTATCACATACTCAGTTCTGTGTTTACAAAAACACAGAACTCTGTGTTTACAAAAACACAGAACTCTGTGTACAGGGAACAGCAATCTGGCTGTCACTTCTCCCTGCAAAGCAGAGAAAAAACAACCAGATGGTAAAGTAAAAGCAGCACACATTACCCATTGCCAGGCACACATTTAACAACCTGATTGCCCTTAGATATTAACCCCTTCCCAGCCAGTGTCATTAGTACATTATCAGTGTACAGTTTTTTCGCTGATCACTGTATTAGTATCACTAACAATGTAATTGTCCGTTAGTGACCCACCCAGATCGTGTGTGTTAGTGCCAGATTGCTTGCCACCCTATTACAGTCCCACTATAAGTTGCTGATCTGTAGTAGAGAACAAAAACAGAGCGCACCAACCTTGCACATTACCTCAATAAACAACTCTGTGTACAGGGAACAGCTATCTGTCTGTCACTTCTCCCTGCAAAGAAGAGAGCAAAAATAACCAGATGGTAAAGTAAAAGCAGCACACATTACCTATTGCTAGGCACACATTTAACACCCTGATTGCCCCTAGATGTTAACCCCTTCCCAGCCAGTGTCATTAGTACAGTGTCAGTGTACAGTTTTTTTCGCTGATCACTGTATTAGTATCACTAGCGACGTCATTGTCCGTTAGTGACCCACCCAGATCGTGTATGTTAGTGCCAGATTGCCTGCCACCCTATTACAGTCCCACTATAAGTTGCTGACCTGTAGTAGAGAACAAAAACAGAGCGCACCAACCTTGCGCATTACCTCTGTAAGCAATTAGTGGATTGATTGATTTAAGAGATATACTCACAAAAATAGTAATCTAACAGGCATATATAATCCAAAAGCAAATCCTACGATAAGGAGATGTGCAAATCCCATCGGAAGGGGAGACTCTCAGATTGATACTGACATGTTTCGAAGGGGGGGGGGGGGGGTCCCTTCTTCATCAGAGCTGATCACCGCCATTACAGTACAGCATCTATAGCTGGCAAAATTCCAGTATATGTACTATTGTTTATCGATGCTATAACTTGTGCTCAAACCAATTAATGTACACTTATTGTAGCATAATATATTTTGGTCTCAAGAAGAAGACATTTGAATTTTATTGGCTATTTTTTAAAACAATGAGTAGAAAAAATAGTTGTTTTTTTTTATTTTCGGTCTTTTTTTAGTTTATTAAAAAAAATAAAAAAACTCGGTGATTAAATGCCACCAAAAGAAAGCTCTATTTGTGGGGGGGGAAAAAGATTAAAAAAATGTATTTTGTGTATAGTGTTGCATGACTGTGCAATTGTCAGTTAAAGTGTAGCGCAGTGCTGAATAGCAAAAAATGGCCTGGTCGTGAAGGTGGTAAAACTTTCCGGTGGTTAACAATACTCTTCACTGAAAACACTTAAACTCAATGATTTTGAGGGGTGTCCAAGTAGGCCGTGTAGATGAGCGTAGTGGTCAGGTGTATGCAAACATTTGGCCTTATCATGTGTACTACACACTTGTGGCAGATTGTAATGTATGGCCTACTGACAGGTTTCCTCCAATCCAGACTGAAAACAATATCTGATCATCTGCTTTTATTCCAGGAGCCCCTTGTTGCAAATGACATCTTGAACCACCCCAACTTTGTCAAAAAGAATCTCTGCAACAGTTTCAGTGACAGAACCGTGCAGAGGTTTTACAAGTTTAATACCAGCCTGGTGGTGGTAAGTTTTTTTGGGGTTTCTTTTTTTTTTTTTTTTTTTTTGGAAGATGAAACACTCTCTACACTAATGAGCTCCGTTGCCTGCTTGTTATTGAGTTGTATCCAAGAAAGGCCTTGAGTCTACTGACCTAGATTTCTGCTAAAGATAAAAATGGCTCAGGCAAATCTGTACATCTCCAAAAAGCAAAAGACAAAAAACTGAGATAAAGGACTAGTTTTTCACAGTGTGATGATAAAAACATGTCTGCATTGCCCCCAGCAACCAGTCAGAATGCCCTTTTTATTTTCCAAACTTTATTTAGAAAAAGACAGTTGCAATCTGGTTGCTGTGAAGGAACACTGACGTTTTTTTTTTAAGAACATTGATAAATTGAGCCTTTTTTGTTCTGTTTCATATTAAAGAGAACCTGTCATGACAGCTGAGGTAGGAGACTTGCTATTTCCTGACATTCAGAACTGCTGTTAGTTCTGGGACAGACTGGTCACAGTGGAAAGCCTCAGTGGCGTCTTGTGCCCAATAGCTGGCACCACTTCAGACGATGGGACCATTAGCAGTTGAAGATTGACATTCACTTTAACATTTGTTAGTGCTTTAAATAGACTCTGTCATGGTAAGTAAAAATAAAGACGCCGGAGTTGTAAAATTAAGGCACCAATAAGTATATTAAGCACACCTTTTAAAACGTGGACATTTACTCGTGTTATATTCGTTCAAAAAGCTGCAAATACTTATATAGTGCCGTCAATTTACACAGCGCTTTACATATATATTGTACATTCACATCAGTCCCTGACCCTCAAGGGGTGTACAATCTAAGGTTCCTAACTCACATTCATACATATACATACTAGGGCCAATTTAGACAGGAGCCAGTTTACGTACCAGCATGCCTTTTGAGTGTGAGAGGAAACCGGAGTACCCGGAGGAAACCCACGCTGGCACAGGGAGAACATGCAAACTCCAGACAGGTGGTGCCATGGTTGGGATTCGAACCAACGACCTGCGTACTGCCAGGCAGAAGTGCTAACCATTTAGCCACTGTAGCACTTCCACCTGGCAGTACTCGGGTCATTGGTTCCAATCCCAACCACAGCACCAGCTGCCTGTAGTTTGCATGTTCTCCCTGTGCCTGCGTGGGTTTCCTCCGGGTACTCCGGTATCCTCCCACACTCCAAAGACATTCTGGGAGGTAAATTGGCTCCTGTCTAAATTGGTCCTAGTATGTGTATGTATGAATGTGAGTTAGGGACCTTAGATTGTACGCCCCTTGAGGGTTAGGGACTGATGTGAATGTACAATATATATATAAAGCGCTGCATAAATTGACAACACTATATAAGTACCTGAAATACATAAGTAAATAAAAAAAAATCTGTTGATTGGCAAGTGTGCTCTTACGTTCATGTTTGGGCTGACACATAGGGGTTGATTTACTAAAACCTGCGAGTGAAAAATTGGTGCTGCTCTGCATAAAAACCAATCTTCATCAATTTTTTTTTTTTTGTCAAAAATTAATTGAACAAGCTGAAGTCAGAAACTGATTGGTCACCATGCATAGCTGCCTCAGAGTTTGCACTCGTGGTTTTAGTAAATCAGCCCCACAGTGCCTTTTCTACACTGAAATTCCAACCACTGCTTGTCAACACTGCCTACTGGACTACAGAACAGTCTTTCCCCCGGTATTCCTGGTACAGTGGGTTTTTATTTTTGTTTTTTGTTTTTTTTTTTGGAGTGCTACATCACATTAGTGGAGCTCAAAAAGGGCACGCCAGTGTAGCAAGCCTGCCTGCACCATTTTTTTCATAGCAACACATGTTTTCAAAGCACAGGCAGTGATTGTGCTAATGGGGTACTACACCTGCATGGTGCAACAGTAGAGGCACAGCAAATATCTGGGGTTAGGGATGTAACTGCCACTTCTGAGTTTGGTTTTGTCTACACTCCTCCTAGCTGGGTGGCCAAACCCTTTGGGTATAAAGGACCACCTGATGCTCAACACACAGGCAAAAGAGGGGATCCCCATAAATCCCTCTTTCTGGTAGTGAGGGCCCATAACACAATTTATGCTGCAATGGCTCCTCAAAAGGTCAGTTTGACTTTAAATCACTGTCCTTATCTGGTGTTTTCACTGTCTCAAGGACACAATTATCCACTTTCTTTGTGTAAAGGGAAGAATTTGCTGCAGCCATTTCTTGGCTGCAAGATCAGATCTCAGGGGTTGTCACTTGCTTGGGATACAAATGTGGGCGCTTCCCTTCCCCTCCTCTTTTATAGGAGGATGAGGCATTGGAGAAAGTTGTTGAGTATCAGGATTCCTCTGCAGATGTGTCCTCACAGGAAGAGTCTCCAGGTCCTTGGCAATCTCCGAGAGAGAAGACCTTACTGGGCTTCCTAGTGGATGTGCTGCGTACTAACTTGAAATTTCCAGAATCGTCTTCTGCAAAGGTCACTGGTTCTGGTTCCTGGCAATGCCAAAACATCCTCAATCTTTTCTGGTACACCCTAACTTTTAGGATATGATGTGTGCCGATAGGACTCACCCAGCAAAGGTGTGTTTGTCCTCCCTGAAGTAGTTAGCTCTGCAGTAACCCATGGAGGAGGAATTCTACCAGAAATGGGATCCACGTCCCAGTGGATGAGGTCCTGTCTTTAAAGACCTCATAGATAAAATGTTGGAAGCCCTCTACTACTTTTCCCCCCTAGCTCAGCAAACCTGCTGTGGGGTCTGCAAAGCTCTTAAAAGTTTGAGCGATGTGCATGCTCCATTCAGGAGAATTGGATCCAGGGTATCCTGCCATCTCACAGTTTTGGAAGATTTTCCGAGAGCACTGAATTTCTCAGTGGATGCCTTGGAAGGTTCCTTGTGGTGGCTTTCAAGGATTAGTTTCCATGTCTGTCCACTTGAGAAGGATCCTATCACATAAATGTTGGTGTTGGTTAGTAAAACTCCAAACTAAGAGGTGGCTCTTTGACGGTGAATGCTTGTTTGGATCATCCTTAGATGCCTTCATTCAGAAGGTGACTGTGGGTAAAAACACATTCATACCCCTTAAAAAAAAAAAAAAAAAGACAGGTCTGAAACCAGTGACCCAAAAGTCATCGAGGTCAGGAAGCAAGTCCTGTTCACAGTGAAGGGGTGTCCCCCACTCGTGTGGTTGGGCAACTTCTATTGGTCTTTGCTGCCGACTAGACTAAGCAAGTCACAGGCAACTGGGTCTGCAGCGTGGTGTCCAGCTGCTATAAGCTGAAGTTTTGCTGCTTTCTTCTCCACAGTTTATGCACTCAAGGGTATCTTTGGAGCCAGAAAACAAGTTCCTGAAAATACAGACAATTTAGACTTCTTGGTGTCCGTAGATGGATATCAAGGATGTCTACTGTAGCAAACTTGCTCATCAGAGTTGGATGCAGAGTTCCCTTTTTTTTTTTTATTATTAGAGTATTCCTCAATCCTTCATTCCCTACCCCCTCCCTTCCTGAGAGGCACAGTGACAGATGGTGTGGGTCAGGTTAAGGCATTCTTAGTCCGGTGCCGAGCAGTCTGCGAAAGTGTAGCCTTCCTCACCCTAAGTCATGATAAGGCCAGCTCATCAGAGCATTGGGAAGCACTGACCCCAGAACTTGTATAGGCTCACCCATCATAAAACAGATAAGGCAGCTTCTCCCCGGAATTGAAAGAGATTGTAACCTCACAAAACCTAACAGTTAAAAATGACAGAATGAAATGAACATTCCTCAAGTCAGGTTTTTTTCCCCTATGTTTCATGTCATGGATTATGACAGATGTTGGTTCTAATTCAGAGTTCCCCGACTGACCCCTCCCAAAACAGCGTAGTGGCCAGTATTAAGAGCCACCCCCCTTGCAGGGGGATTTTTAAAAAGACAGTCTGGCAAACCTAAAGTTGAAGCTAAGCACATCTCCTGATCTTAACATCGTAACAGCAGGAGATCAAAGACCCTTTCCACTCTGCAACTTGGATCTGCTTACAAACCAAGGCGTATTGGCAAGTAACTTAACCCTTTAACTTCCTTCCTATTATCTCTTTGCTGTGTTGTGGGTCTTTATCTATATATAAATATATATCTTAGTTACATCTCTTTCTGCAAATATTTTATTGCACCTGTTTGGCTCTTTTAGTAATAAATCTTTCTTTCTGAAAGTGTTAAACTGTTTATAAGCGCTTACTTGCAATTCACGAATTCCTGCCTTTGAAGAGACGCTACTGTTTGTTATAATCTCTGTATAACAGGCCTGCGGACCGTGTTATATATATATATATCAATATTTCAATCATTATAGTGTATATTTGATAACGGGAGTTTCCCAGTCTCCGACAAAAGTGGTGGCAGTAGAGGGTTAGTTGCGTAATTAACCCGACCCAGTAACAAGCGCTTTCAGGCTGCAGGCACCGATTGTAACCCATTAGCTGGACAATCGCTGTGCAGGGTGCAGCTGGGTGTGCAAAAAAGGAGGGTTGTGAAAAGAGATTCACAGAAAAGCGGCTACATAATGAACAGAACGTGACACTAAGGGAATAATTTCCAAAAATTATGCTTTATTACACACAAATGAATATGACATATGGGCATTCGCCCTGGTTTACCATCACCTCAGTATGAGACAATACACACAGACCTAAAACCATTTAAAATGACACAAAAACCGGTCTAAATGTATGTGTAGCAGGGAAAATGGCTACATGAGTCTAGTGTCCCTGCAACACAAACACACAGGTGAACACTTCCCTAGGGAGGTGTATCCAAAAATTATGCCATGGGCATACCATAATAGAGGATATAAGGGATTAAACAGTAACCATAATGGCAAATCCCTATCAAGAAATCCAAAAAATTATGCTGTAGATATATATATCACATGTATGCAATGGAGCAAGCACAATATGCGTCAAAAAGGAGAGTAGCAAGCCTCAGGCCTGTATGAAGGAAGACATAAATGTCAAATATATTGTACAATACATTCCTGTGCCGGCACAAGTGGTTGGGGTTCATTCATCTGTAATATAGATAGCTGTTTCCTAGAGCTCTTGGATGGGAACACTGATATGCCCCATTTATTTCCAGGATGGAAGAAAAGATGCACACAGCAGCACTCTGCTTAAAATGGTTTCTTCACCACTACACGTGGACTATACACCACTTTTTGTAGGAAAAAACAAGACACATCCCAAAGACTCTTCTGCCTGTTGAAATATATATGATATATCTTGCAGCTGGGTGTGGCCTTGTTACGCGCGTCACACCGCGGTTTTAGATCGGCCAGTCCTTTGGTCACGAGTTTGGTGAGAAGGTCTGCGGTCTGATGCCGCGGGCGTGACGTATTATTGTTGGTCGCGGTTGTGGGGTTGTCGCATGATTGGTGGCGCCGATCGTGACATCTACCTACACATTTAGAGTTTCTGGTCTCACCAACAGTTTCTTCATTTTCCAGTGGTGGAACATCAGTTGCCTCTCAGTCTGTCCACAGCCTCATTCTAATGCAAATCCTAACAATTATGGAATTTTTTTTCTTGAAAATGTAACACTTTTTCTTTTTTCTTTCCTTTAGGGCGATCTGACCAACCTTGTTCATGGCAGTCACTGCTCCAAGTATCGCCTAACTAGGATACCTGGGACCAATGCATTTGTGGGGATTGTGAATGAGACCTGTGATTCTTTGGCTTTCTGTGCCTGCAGCATGGTGGACCGGCTGTGCCTCAATTGCCACAGGTATTTCAAATGAAGACAAACACATCCTTACCTTACAATTAAAGTAGAAATAAACCCCCATTTGTACAATAAAATAAACATTACCAAGTAAAAATAATGATTTCCCCAGCCCTTGCAGTTTGTGGCTTCCAATGCTGCTGGCTCCTGAACTTCACAAGAAAGTAACAGTGGACATTGCTGTCCTCAGTCGGTCTGTTAGCTTTGGGAGTGAGTGAGGAGCATGGGGGGGGGGGGGGGGACCATGACATCCTAGGGTAATCTGTTGATGGGCACAGTGTAGAGAGACACAATTCTAGTCCCTGCAATGCAAGAGTGGCTACATAGGACACCAAGTGAAAGGAGCCACCCTGAAGCGGGTAACCAGAGGCAGCCGTGATGGCACTAGCTTAAACGTGAACATAGGCAAAGAATAAAAGATGAAGAAGCTGCATACTCAGCGGTTATTGAGTGTGCAGCATCTTTAAATCCTTGTGTATATTCCTGTTTAACCCCCTCACTCTTAAGGGTAAAACAAATCCTAATGCCTAAGCAGTAGTTGTATTATTACAACTACTTTGTACATCCAGGTATATTATACCTTGTATTTTTCAGGACAAATTAGCCTTTCATTTGGTGGTGAATGGTAATGGATATCTCCTGATTTTTTGTTTTGTTTTTTTATTCTCAAAGGAAAACTGGCCTAAAATAGTAAAACAAATCATTTTTTTTTATTTAGCTGTATATTTCTTGTTACTATCATTACCTACCACTAAAGAACAAAACCCAAAATAAATCCTCCTGCTCCTGACTTTCGCAGCGATGCCATATATGTGTACGATATTTGTTGTTTGTACCTGTTGTAGCCCAGAAACAATAGTGCACATTTTTCTTTTTTTTGTTTGTTTTTTTTGTCCTACATAAAACACACTGACACTAACCAACACTAATACTAATTTAAAAAAAATTAAACCTTCCCAAAATATACTGTCCCTGAACGTTGACCTTTGACCCAAACACTAACCCTGGCACTGACCTAGATCAAACCTTAATCTGGGTATTTTTTTCTTTATTATTTCTTTATTGTTTACACACGTTTCTCTCTTGCTCTCTCTTTCTTGCTTTCTCTTTTTTGCTTTTTCGCTCGCGCTCTCTTGCTCGCTGTCGCTCTCTTGCTCGCTGTCTCTCGCTCTTGCTCGCTGTCTCTCGCTCTTGCTCGCTGTCTCTCGCTCTTGCTCGCTGGCTCTCGCTCTTTCTCGCTGGCTGTCTCTCGCTGGCTGTCTCTCGCTGGCTGTCTCTCGCTGGCTGTCTCTCGCTCGTTCCCTCTCGCTCCCTCTCGCTCGTTCCCTCTCGCTGGCTGTCTCTCGCTGGCTGTCTCTCGCTGGCTGTCTCTCGCTCGTTCCCTCTCGCTGGCTGTCTCTCGCTCGTTCCCTCTCGCTCGTCTCTCGCTCGTTCCCTCTCGCTGGCTGTCTCTCGCTCTCTCGCTGGCTGTCTCTCGCTCGTTCCCTCTCGCTGGCTGTCTCTCGCTCGTTCCCTCTCGCTGGCTGTCTCCCTCTCGCTGCTGTCTCTCGCTCGTTCCCTCTCGCTGGCTGTCTCTCGCTCGTTCCCTCTCGCTGGCTGTCTCTCGCTCGTTCCCTCTCGCTGGCTGTCTCTCGCTCGTTCCCTCTCGCTGGCTGTCTCTCGCTCGTTCCCTCTCGCTGGCTCGCTCGTCCCTCTCGCTCGTTCGTTCCCTCTCGCTCGCTGTCTCTCGCTCGTTCCCTCTCGCTCGTTCCCTCTCGCTCGTTCCCCCTCTCGCTCTCGCTCGTTCCCTCTCGCTCTGTCTCTCGCTCGTTCCCTCTCGCTCGTTCCCTCTCGCTGGCTGTCTCTCGCTGTCCTCTCTCGCTCGTTCCCTCTCGCTCGTTCCCTCTCGCTCGTCTCCTCGTCCCTCTCGCTCGTTCCCTCTCGCTCGTTCCCTCTCGCTCGTTCCCTCGCTCGTTCCCTCTCGCTCGTTCCCTCTCGCTCGTTCCCTCTCGCTCGTTCCCTCTCTCTCGTTCCCTCTCGCTCGCTCGCTCGTTCCCTCTCGCTCTCTCTCTCTCGCTCGTTCCCTCTCTCTCTCTCGTCGCTCGTTCTCTCTTTCTCTCTTTCTCTCTCGCTCGTTCTCTCTTTCTCTCTTTCTCCTCTCGTTCTCTCCTCTCTTCCCTCTCGCTCGTTCCTCTTTCTCTCTTTCTCTCTCGCTCGTTCCCTCTCTTTCTCTCTCGCTCGTTCCCTTTCTCGCTCGCTCGTTCTCTCTTTCTCGCTCGCTCGTTCTCTCTTTCTCTCTCGCTCGTTCTCTCTCTTCTCTCTCGCTCGTTCTCTCTTTCTCTCTCGCTCGTTCTCTCTTTCTCTCTCGCTCGTTCTCTCTTTCTCTCTCTCGCTCGTTCTCTCTTTCTCTCTCGCTCGTTCTCTCTTTCTCGCTCGCTCGTTCTCTCTTTCTCGCTCGCTCTCTCTCTCTCTCTCGCTCGCTCGTTCTCTCTTTCTCGTTCTCTCTTTCTCTCGCTCGTTCTCTCTTTCTCTCTCGCTCGTTCTCTCTTTCTCTCTCGCTCGTTCTCTCTTTCTCTCTCTCGCTCGTTCTCTCTTTCTCTCTCGCTCGTTCTCTCTTCTCTCTCGCTCGTTCGCTCTCTCTCTCGCTCGTTCTCTTTCTCTCACGTTCGCTCTTTCTCTCTTTCTCTTCGCTCTTTCTCTCACGTTCGCTCTCTTTCTCTCACGTTCGCTCTCTTTCTCTCACGTTCGCTCTTTCTCTCTCCATTCAGAGAGAAAACACAGAGTTGGGCTGGCTTCACAGTGACTGATCACTGTGATAGCCAGTCAGAGGCTATCACCATGATCAGGTAACCCCAGAATCGGGGTTAGTACGGGACCCAGGGCTCACGGTGAGACCCTGGTCCCTGTGCTGGGAGAACGCCATGCAGGGTGCTCCCAGCACAAAGAGAGATAAGCAAATATTCGAGCCCACGGCATAAATCCTAGTGCAGTGGGGCCGCATATTTGTGTGAGGTCAGCATCAAGGGGTTATACTGGTACCATGACCGTTGCCCCATGTTTCCTGTTTCAGGGTGGTTCCTTTCACTTGCAAACCTTTGTTTATAAATAATCTTTCAATACGAGAAAGAAATTGGTCAAATTTAACTGGATTTTTTAAAAGTTAAAAGCTAGGATGCCAGCTATTGATAGAAAAAATGTATATAAATTAACAATTTGTAACAAAACTGAAGTAAAATGAAAATTAAAAAAAATATATCATTGTGTGAGCTGCTAACCCACCTTGTGGCAGAATCCTTGATTCTCCCCCAACCCACTGAATGTTCTTTTATTTCTGCTAGGATGGAACAGAATGAATGTGAGTGTCCTTGTGAGTGCCCCTTGGAGGTCAACGAGTGCACAGGAAACCTGACAAATGCAGAAAGCAGGTGAGATTATGAAATGCTCTCTGGGCTTGACCCAAATTTACTCCCTCTTCCCCTCTAAAGCACATCCAAGTATTTTTTGGTTTTTATTTTGTGCCCATAGGCTTTTAAGAGAAATATGGGCAAAACTTTTTTTTTATTGGCTGTGCTTATTCCTCTTGAAATTACTTTTTCTCTCCTTTACCTCGGTCAGCTGATTGTGGGCTATTGAAGGTTCTGGAAGGATCCCTACAATATTTTTGGAATCTGCTCAACTGCCTAAATGATAGGTGGCTCTGGCTTTTAGGGGCAGGACAGAACTGAGCCCACCCATTCCCCAGTCTGGAGCTGAAGTGAGCAATGGAGGAGCAGAGCGGTCATTGACAGGCATTGCTCTCCGTCTGCAATTAGCAGACGTGATCGCTCAGTTCTCTATCTCATAGCTGCTTGGGACAGCTGTGTCACACCAATGCTGCAACATGTATGTGTGTTTATTTTACAGTCCCATCCTTTAATTCCTGTGACACCATCACTAGGCTTGCAAAGTTACTCCATAGGCAGCTGCTCGGAGCTCTGTTCCTTTTGATATAGACATCCCCCCCATAACAATGTCTCCCAAGAACCCTTTCTCTACTCAGTGTGAGGATAGTCTGTAGAAATGAATCACGTGATCATGTCAGTAAAATATTTCAGCTGTTAATCATGTCTGTCCTGTTTTTGTTTTTAAATTTAATTCAGGAACCCGAGTTGTGAAGTCCATCAGGAGCCAATGACATTCACCATGCTTGATCCAAATCTCCAGGATGCACTATCTCAGTGTGTCAACACTGGCTGTTCCCAAAGGATGGAGAGCAGGTATGTTCACCTTTAGAATCCATATTGTATGTTAACCTCTTGTGGGTGAACTCATTTTTAACAGTTACAATAATTTAATTTCCACAAAATGTCCTTCTCCATCAAAATGATTTGCAGTGATGGGACTCTGATATTATTAGATCATATGAACTTAAATCCTATCATGCTGACTGTTTATCCAGACTAGATATGAGCCCGGGCATCCTCCAAACTCCTCTCTAGCCAAACTCCAAACTTGCGCACTAGTGTTTTTTTTTTTCTTCCAGAGAGCTGTGACTGGGTCATTCCCTCCCTACATTCTGCCTCTTTATGTAATCTGCGGGGTGGGATTGCCCTGGCCCACAGCTCACTGTATTTTTAATAAAAGAACGCAAGTCTGCGTAGGGATGAATTCGGAGGATGCCCAAACTCATCTGCAGTCTAGACAAGTTCATCTAATTTAATCATCTTTCTCTATAGGGCAAAATCTATAAATAAACTCAGCACTTGAACATAATTTAGGCTGTATTTCACCATTCATCCATTCCTCTGTATTAGTGGTCTCCAGACTGTGGCCCAGGGATCGGATGCTACACTTTGCTTGACTTTTTTCCGAGCCTTGAGGAATTATTCCTGCCACTGACACCAACAATGTGGCACAATTCCTTCCACTGACAACACTGATGGGGCACTATTCCTCCCACTGACACCAAAGATTGGGCACTATTCCTCCCACTGACACCAATGATGGGGCACTATTCCTCCCACTGACACCAATGATGGGGCACTATTCCTCCCACTGACACCAATGATGGGGCACTATTCCTCCCACTGACACCAATGATGGGGCACTATTCCTCCCACTGACACCAATGATGGGGCACTATTCCTCCCACTGACACCAATGATGGGGCACTATTCCTTCCACTGACACCAATGATGGCACACCATTCCTTCCACTGACACAATGATGGCGCACTATTCCTTCCAATAACACCAATGATGGGGCACTATTCCTTCTACTAACATCAATGATGGGGCACTATTCCTCCCACTGACACCAATGATGGGGCACTATTCCTCCCACTGATACCAATGATGGGGCACTATTCCTCCCACTGACACCAATGATGGGGCACTATTCCTTCCACTGACACCAATGATGGGGCACTATTCCTTCCACTGACACCAATGATGGGGCACTATTCCTTCCACTGACACAATGATGGCGCACTATTCCTTCCAATAACACCAATGATGGGGCACTATTCCTTCCACTGACATCAAAGATGGGGCACTATTCCTCCCACTGACACCAATGATGGGGCACTATTCCTCCCACTGACACCAATGATGGGGCACTATTCCTCCCACTGACACCAATGATGGGGCACTATTCCTTCCACTGACACCAATGATGGGGCACCATTCCTTCCACTGACACCAATGATGGCGCACCATTCCTTCCACTGACACAATGATGGCCACTATTCCTCCTCCCACTGACACCAATGATGGGGCACTATTCCTTCCTACTAACATCAATGATGGGGCACTATTCCTTCCACTGACACCAATGATGGCACACCATTCCTTCCACTGACACAATGATGGCGCACTATTCCTTCCAATAACACCAATGATGGGGCACTATTCCTTCCACTGACAGCAATGATGGGGCACTATTCCTTCCACTGACAGCAATGATGGGGCACTATTCCTTCCACTGACACAATGATGGCGCACTATTCCTTCCACTGACACAATGATGGCGCACCATTCCTTCCAATAACACCAATGATATGGCACTGTTCCTTCCACTGACACCAATGATGGGGCACTATTTCTCCCACTGACACAATGATGGGGCACCATTCCTCCCACTGACACAATGATGGGGCACCATTCCTCCCACTGACACCAATGATGGGGCACTATTCCTCCACTGACACCAATGATGGGGCACTATTCCTCCACTGACACCAATGATGGGGCACTATTCCTCCACTGACACCAATGATGGGGCACTATTCCTTCCAATAACACCAATGATGGGGCACTATTCCTTCCACTGACACAATGATGGGGCACTATTCCTTCCAATAACACCAATGATGGGGCACTATTCCTTCCTGAACATCAATGATGCGGCACTGTTCCTTCCACTGACACCAATGATGGCGCACCATTCCTTCCACTGACACAATGATGGCGCACCATTCCTCCCACTGACACAATGATGGCGCACCATTCCTCCCACTGACACAATGATGGCGCACCATTCCTCCCACTGACACAATGATGGCGCACCATTCCTCCCACTGACACAATGATGGCGCACCATTCCTCCCACTGACACAATGATGGCGCACCATTCCTCCCACTGACACAATGATGGCGCACCATTCCTCCCACTGACACAATGATGGCGCACCATTCCTCCCACTGACACAATGATGGCGCACCATTCCTCCCACTGACACAATGATGGCGCACCATTCCTCCCACTGACACAATGATGGCGCACCATTCCTCCCACTGACACAATGATGGCGCACCATTCCTCCCACTGACACAAGAATGGGGCACCATTCCTCCCACTGACACCAATGATGGGGCACCATTCCTCCCACTGACACCAATGATGGGGCACCATTCCTCCACTGACACCAATGATGGGGCACCATTCCTCCACTGACACCAATGATGGGGCACTATTCCTCCACTGACACGATGGGGCACGATTCCTTCCACTGACACCAATGATGGGGCACTATTCCTTCCACTGACACCAATGATGGGGCACTAATCCTCCCACTGACACAATGATGGGGCACTATTCCTTCCATTGACACAATGACGGGGCACTATTTCTCCCCCCTATTACCAAAGATGTGGCATTGTTTATTCCCAACGGGCACAGTTCAACCCCCTTAAAGCCTGAAGAACAGTAAACTGGCCCTGTGTTTAGAATGTTTGGAGACCCCTGCTCTATATAAATAAACCAAGCAGAACAAATACAATGTATATCTTCTCTGAATATGTTCCCTTTTAATCTAAATTGTATGAATGACTCTCCTCTCTTCAATAGTTACTGTTTCGGGGTCCTGGACTGTGAGTGGTGTATGGTAGACAGTGACGGAAAGACCCACCTAGACCGACCATATTGCGCTTTACAGAAAGAATGTTTTGGTGGCATTGTTGGTGCCAAAAGTCCATATGCAGATGACATGAATACTATAGGTAAGGTACACGGTACAGTTCAGTTTCTTTCATTTTGGCATTCAGAAGCCCAGTGAGCAAAAAATTGAGTTAAAAAATGACCTTGAGTATAACCAGCTTCAGGCAGTGCACAAGTACTTCATCTTTGAAGGGCTTGCTAAAGAATACAATCTGTTCAGAAAAACCTATCCAGCGCTCGAGGTGTCTTCTCCCACCGGCTCCCTAAAACTGTTCTCTGTGCTGGTGGTAATACAAAAAAATGTAAATTTTGAACTCTTGCTTGTGTACATGGTTCACTCATTGCTCCACCACAGTTCTGTGTTTGCTCATTTGGGAGCAGAGCTGTCAGTGCCGCATATTTCATAGACCCCAGTGCTACAGTCATGTCTCTATCTCCCTCTTCTCCTGGCCATTCACAAAACAAAGCCTGGGACATTGTGTTTTGTGAGAGAAGAGGAGAGGTAGGCTGAGATACATTACCGCTGGGGTCTAAAAACTCTGCAGTGCTTTTATGTGAGCGGGCCAGAAGTACCGAGGGAACTGCACTAATCATATATGCAGGAGATGATTTGCTTAATGTAGAAGTCTGCGTGACGTGGGGTTGGCTTTTTACTGAACAGAATGTATAACTGCATGAACGCTGGTAAAGGTATTGTGCCCATAATTGGGTGAATTAACAACAGGGGCGGACTAACAATTTGGAAACTCGGGCACTGCCCGAGGGCCCGTGGTCAGTAGGGGGCCCCATGAGATGCCCCTGGTACCTTTTTCATAGGCTTTTTTGAGTTTGGGCAAGGACACAGGGGCCCCATGTTCCCTTATTGCCCAGGGGCCCCATGTTCCCTTATTGCCCAGGGGCCCCATGTTCCCTTATTGCCCAGGGGCCCCATGAGTTGTCAGTCTGGCTCTGATTAACACCCTACACTATTGCCAACACCACCCCCGGTCCCTGCTGCACTTTTCTCCATGGGTGATTAGCTGTCACTGCCTACACAGTGAGTGCTGCAGTCTGACCTGAATGCCCCATTTTTTTTCACTGTCTTTCCTTATGGCTTTCTGGACTGATCAGATCAATTCTGATTGGTCATGTGCTGGCACAAGACCTCTTTGACCGACTGAATTTGATCTGATCTATGCCAGAATCTCTATGGAAGACCAAGAAGAAAGGCGGTGCTTTCAAATCCCTGGACTGCTGCACTGGCTGTAAAAGCAGTGACAGCTAATCACCCTCAGAGGTAAGTGCAGCAGGGGGCGGGGAGTCTGTAGGGTGCTAGTTCACCTTTTCATTTTTTTAAATCTGACCTCCGGCCTTCCCTTCAGTCTTGCACAATTATACTGGCTCCTTCCTGGACTGAAATGGCTTACTTATTTTTCTGCACACTGTGACCTTCTTACAATGTTCATTAGAAGCTGCAGCAAGTCGTATAGGGGCCTCCTCATTTCCTGGATGGAAATATCTATTATCGTCTAGTCTTCTCCTCCCCAACCTGACTGCACCTGGCCTGTCCCTTTCATTCCCTTTTTCCAGTAATGGGGGATCAGCATTATGGGGGCTTACCTCTGGCAGTTTGCTCCCAGGTGGCGTGGGGTCCAGGAATGAGGGAAAGCTGCTAACTTGAATTGAATTTTAAAAATATTTGCTAGCTGTTGCACATTTAAAATGTAGTTGGGCAGTACAGTGATTAGCACTTCTACTTGGCAGCACTGGTGTTGTTGGTTCAAATCCTAACCATAGCACTGCCTGCCTGCATGTTCCCCCTGAGCCTACCTGGGTTTTTTTTCAAGCAGCTCCGGTTTCCTCCTATACTGTAAAGACATGCTGGTAAGTCATCTGGTTCCTGTCTAAATTGTCCCTAGTATGTGTATGTATGAATGTGACTTCGGGGCCTTAGATTGTACGCTCCTTGAGGGCGGGGATGGATGTGAATGTACTATATATGTAATGCAGGCCATAGTTCGTTTATCGGCCGAATTTTCATTCGAAAGAATAATCGACCGATATTCGCACTGTTAGTGGGGCAATGTCATCGGCCGATTTTCGCAGTTCCTCCTCATTTCTTTTATCGGTCATGTTGGAAGATTTACGTAAAACAGCTGATTTTCGTCATCATTGGTGGCAACAGAACGACAGATTTTTTTCCTCTTTCAGCCTAAACTTCGGCCGATAAAAGAACCGTCTATGGCCTGCATAAAGTGCAGTGTAAATTGATGGCGCTATATAAACACCTGTAATAAATAAATACAATTAAAAATAGTTTATTCACAGTATATTTTGCAGGGTTCAAGTCTTCTTTTCTGTTGTGCTGAAATGTTTTTCTCACTTAGCTATATAAATGTTTTTTTAACAGGTGATGAGGTCATCACGTTGAACATGATTAAGAGTGCCCCGGTCGGACCAGTAGCTGGAGGTATAATGGGCTGTATTATGGTTCTAGTCCTGGCTGTCTATGCTTACCGTCACCAAATCCACCGGCGGAGCCACCAGCACATGTCACCTTTAGCAGCACAAGGTAATTTTTAAATGATACCTAAATATGTTGGCATCTGTCCTCTGCTGGAAGCATAACAGTGGAGAAATATATTACACCCTTTGGGAATAAATGTTCGTTTTAGGTACACGCTACCCAAAATTTCACCAGACGTTGAATAGCCAGTTCCCAAAACTGATACTTTTATTTGGGTGGATGCTGGAGAGTTAAGAGAAGTTTGGGTCCCCCCCAAATTATACTTACCTAGGTGGATGCATTCTGTCCCCCTGCCGGCTCTAGATGTGAGACCTCCGCGATCACATGACTGCTGACTTCACACCGCTGCTGTGAGCAGAGAGAGGTGACTGTCAGCCCGCTGTGAGCAGAGAGAGGTGACTGTCAGCCTGCTGACTGTCTGCAGCCCGCTGTGAGCAGAGAGAGGTGACTGTCAGCCCGCTGTGAGAGGCGACTGTCAGCCCGCTGTGAGAGAGGTGACTGTCAGCCCGCTGTGAGCGGAGACTGTCAGGCGACTGTCAGCCCGCTGTGAGCAGAGAGAGGCGACTGTCAGCCCGCTGTGAGCGGAGAGAGGCGACTGTCAGCCCGCTGTGAGCGGAGAGAGGCGACTGTCAGCCCGCTGTGAGCGGAGAGAGGCGACTGTCAGCCCGCTGTGAGCGAGAGAGGCGACTGTCAGCCCGCTGTGAGCGGAGAGAGGCGACTGTCAGCCCGCTGTGAGCGGAGAGAGGCGACTGTCAGCCCGCTGCAAGCGAGCGGAGAGAGAGAGGCGACTGTCAGCCCGCTGCGAGCGGAGAGAGGCGACTGTCAGCCCGCTGCGAGCGGAGAGAGGCGACTGTCAGCCCGCTGCGAGCGGAGAGAGGCGACTGTCAGCCCTGCGCTGCGAGCAGCCCGCTGCGAGAGAGGCGACTGTCAGCCCGCTGCGAGCGGAGAGAGGCGACTGTCAGCCCGCTGCGAGCGGAGAGAGGCGACTGTCAGCCCGCTGTCGGCTGATAACAGGTCACAGGAAAGCAGAACGACTGAACTCCTCTGATCCACAGAATTACAGCTGCGAAAGAGCTTTGGCTGTACTTCTCCTTTAAACCAGCTGCTAACTAGGTGACTGCTCGCTGTCACGGAGGACTCTTCGGTGAGATTTCTTTTCATTGTGGCAGGGGTGGGAGTTGGGGAAGAACAGAGTAAGATTTCCACTGAAAGGAGAAAAAATCAACATCAGGAACCATGTCGTACCAAGTGTAAGTTATGTCCCTTGTGCTGAGTTTTATATTTTTGATAACTTTGCCCTGCAGTGGAGCTCTGGAACATTTAATATGGATGGAAGTTATACTGTATATAGCTTAGAACATACATAATGATATTTACACTTTCACAGAAATGTCCGTACGAATGTCTAACCTGGAAAATGATCGTGATGAGCGAGATGACGACAGCCATGAGGATCGCGGGATCAGTAAGTGCATAGAGCATTGTTATCAGAGCATGCAGCATGCCCTTGCACAGCAATATAATAATGGCTGTTATTTTCTGTCTATTGTTTTGCAGTCAGTAACACCAGGTTTATAGCGGCAGTAATCGAACGCCATGCGCATAGTCCGGAGAGACGTCGGCGATACTGGGGACGATCGGGTACAGAGAGTGATCATGGTACGTTTGGGTCACTTGATGTACAGTAGCTGTGTATGTGTATTAAAATAATATAGAAACTTTGATCTTCTGCTGTAGAGCTGCAGGCACTGACCAATTAATCTTTTTTTTTTTTTTTTTTTTTTTTTTTTTTTTCATTCAGCTTGCACAGAAAAAAAAAGTAAAAAAAAAAACATTCAAGCCTTTAGAATCATTTTAAGGTGTAAGGCTTCAATATAATTTATACTGGTTGTAAACCCTTACATATACCCAGTGAAGCAACTGACCTCAGGTGACACACAGAAATGAAACAAATCATCTTACATAAGTTGTTTATCTTTAGCCCTTCTCTACATCCGTTCAAAGTGCAGAATGTACACAGGATCTCTTAGTTCTGAAAACCCAGGGGTGTGGGAACCAGGGGCAGACTGACCACTTGGGAACTCGGGCAGTGCCCGAGGGCCCGGGGTCAGTAGGGGGCCCCATGAGATGCCCTTGGTACCTTTTTCATAGGCTTTTTTTTGAGTGTGGGCAAGGACACAGGGGCCCCATGAGTTGGTGGGGAGCTGAAGTTACACCCTGTAGAGCTCAGTGAGGAGAGCTCTGAGTCCTGATTGGAGGGAAGAGACAACACCCCCCCCCCCCCTTCACACAGTACACAGTTGAGGCTGTCAGTCACAGGCTATGCCCTTATCGTCACCATTTTTCTCTTGGTGTCAGGAAAACTTCTCAGAAGTGACTTATACAGATAGCAGAAGAATGAGGCAGGAGACAGAAATGACACTTACTCTGGATTGAGACACACAGTCGAGGAATATGTTTTATTATTTCATGTCAGAAGTTTAGAAACATTTTAATGTTGGGAATACAACAGCATGTACTATATATAGTATTGTGTGTTAATATCACTTGACCAGTAGATGGCACTGTACACTAAGGTTACCAGTTGTGCATATGTGTAAAACTTGTTGGTTCTCTCTCTTCCTCTCTCTCTCTCTCTCTCTCTCAAAGCAAGATGTCTGCTGAAATGTGCTCTGTACGTTTGTAACTTAAGCCACACAAGTAAAACAGAATTCTGCCTCATCACATCACTACCAGTGTCTTCTCTAACACATAACAAACATTTAATGCATTCCTTTTTTTTTTTTTTTTTTTTTTTTTTACTGGGTTACAGTACAATGAGTCCGCAGGAAGACAGTGAAAATCCACCATGCAATAATGACCCCTTGTCGGCGGGGGTGGATGTTGGGAACCACGATGAAGATCTAGAACCAGACACCCCTCCGCAGACTGCAGCTCTCTTGAGCCACAAATTTCACCACCATTACAGACTGCATCACCCGTCTCTCCACCACAGCCACCATCTACAGGCTGCCGTCACTGTGCATTCTGTAGACGCTGAATGCTGATGAACTTTGGACCATTTAGGTGCCAGCCAATCACAGACCCTTTGTGCCATAACTGCCTTTATTTCTTACCCCAGGCATTTCCTGCAAACAGTTGCAGTTTTTATGTAGAACTTCACAGAATGGGCGTCGGCCCTGACGAATCTAGTATTTCAAAAGAAAATGCCTAAATCACCGTGGATACTAGAGGGTCTCGACTGCAACAAAAGAGAGGTCTAGGACTTTTTGTATTAAGCTGGAAAAAACTAAAAACAGACGATATTTGTTTAGAAAAAATTAAAAAGAAAAAAAAAAAAAGAAAGAAAAAAAAAAAAAAAAACTGTACTCATAATGAGTAGAATTGTTAATAGTTTCCTAAAAAAAAAAAAATGAAATGCATCTCACTTTTTACGAAAAGGATTATTTTTGTACTATTTATTTAATTTCTCAAGGACTTATAGGGATGAAATATTCCACCCTTTTGGAACTATAGAACCCGCCAAGAGGAGGGGACACAAAAACCTTTGTGGAAGGAAGCCTAACCTGTGTACAGAGAACTTTGCACACGTAGGATATCGTCGCATCTTTTTTTTTATAGCCCTTCTGCCGCAAGGTGATTTTTAAAACAGGAAATGCGTTGCTAAACAATCTTGAATTTTAAATTTCCTTCAAAGAAATCCAGGACAAAAAAAGGTGCATATTCTAACGCTGTTCTAGTGTTTGAGTATATACGTATGAACTGTTGTGGGGTTAGCCTAAAGAAAACAAAAAAAAAACTCGGTTACCTGTTGGATGCCAGTCGTCTTCATGTGTTCGAGGTGCAGCTGACTCTCCTTGCAGTATTTTTAACCAAACTTTTGTTTTTTTTTTTTTTTAATTCGTTTTTAACCACTGTTAATCAAGACTGCGTATTCAGTACAACCACTAGTAGGCTTCATTTATGAAAGTATCTGAAAGAGGAAATGTGTTGCTAGTTGGAGGAAATTCTGACGTCAGGCCTCCCTGGCTACTGGAGAGTGTTTTCTTTGTATTGTAAGTGTTCTTTTTAACTTTTATTCTATTAGGCTCGTTCACATGGCGCGATTACTTCTCTGTCCTGTGCAGGGCCATGTTTTTCCTGGGAGGAAATGCACGCATCCCTATGCCGGTGGTCCCATAAAGGTCCATGGACAGCACAGTGGATGAGTGGTTAGCACTTCCTCCTGGCAGCACTGGGGTTTATGGTTTGAATCCTAACACTGGCACTACCATCCTGGAATTTGCATGTTCTCCCTGTGCCTGCATGGGTTCCTCCGTTTTTCCTCCCACGCTCAAAAGACATGCTGGTAGGATAATAGACTCCTGTCTAAATTGGCCCTTATATGTGTATGTATGAATGTGAGTAATGCTGGCCATAGATGGGCTTTCGGCCGATAAACAAAAAATCGGTCGGCCCCGATGCTGCCACCAATGTTTTCGTGGATTTACCAGCATGACCAATAAAAATAAATGAGAAGATCCGCGAAAAAACGGCCGACGGGCTGGCCCCACTAACGGCGTGAATATCGTCCGAATTTTCGTGCGTATGAAAATTCGGCCGATAAACGACCCATCTATGGCCTACAGCCAGTAAACCCAGAACTAGAGGGTTTCTAGAGGAGTTTTTTTAGCTGTAAAAACGCTCTATTGCTGAAAAACGCAGTAAAACGGCACAAACTGGCGTTTTTGGACTTTTTTTTTTATACCAAAAAAATTTCATTTTTGGGGGGGGGGGGGGAGTGGGAAACCGCTGCTGAATGCAGCGCAAAACATCTGAACACTAATGCAGAAACGCTACAATAAAAAGTGACTTTACACAGCCAAAACGTTACCAGCGTTATCATAACGCCCCGTGTGCGTGGAGCCTTAGTCCTCCTTGAGGGTTAGGGACTGATGTGAATGTACAATATATATATAAGTGCTGCGTAAATTGATGCCGCTATATAAGTACCTGAAATAAATGAATAAAAATACATTTGAACACACGGCTGAAAGGATGCGGCCACTTTGTCCCAATATGACATCCATGTGTTTGTGGGTGCGTCCAGGGCCAGGCATTTACATGATGTCACATTGACACACTGTGGTCCTGTCAGCTGTGTCCCAGTAGACATCTATGGGTCTATTGGCATGGGGATTCAATGCCTACGCATCCCCTGCCAGGCAAAGCGCAGCCCAGCACGGGTAACACAAGTGATCTCCCTGGTGAATGAGGCCTTACCATTTCACATGCAACATTGTACTTCAAAAAGCAGCTCCCTGGCTTCTCAAGTGGAGGTAGATGCTGTGCAAAGCCTATAACTTTCTGTCTGCTTTTGACTTGTGTTGTGAAACCAGCACAGAAGAGACATGCGGTACTTCCAACTGGATTGTCCCAAAGACATTTTAAAAAATGAATAAAAGGGCCTTTTTAAAGTGTGTCATCAATGTGTTTCATGCAGGTTCTTGGGTGTTCTAATGTTCCCTCTATGGCAGGCAGGGGTCCACAAAGGTTCTAAACAAAGGGCCAGTTTACTATTCTTCAGACGTCAAAGGAGCCGGTCTGTGACCAGTGGGAGTAGAAAATGTCCTGGCATTGGTAGCAATGCCCCATCATTGGTGTCTGGGAGAGGAATAGTACCCCATTATTGGTGCCAGTGGGAGGAATAGTGCCCCATCATTGGTATCAGTGGGAGGAATAGTGCCCCATCATTGGTGTCTGGGAGGAATAGTGCCCCATCATTGGTATTAGTGGGAGGAATAGTGCCCCATCATTGGTGTCAGTGGGAGGAATAGTGCCTCATCATTGGTGTCAGTGGGAGGAATAGCATCCCATCATTGGTATCCGTGGGAGGAATAGTGCCCCATCGTTGGTGTTATTGGGAGGAATAGTGCCCCATCATTGGTATCAGTGGGAGGAATAGTGCCCCATCGTTGGTGTTATTGGGAGGAATAGTGCCCCATCATTGGTGTCAGTGGGAGGAATAGTGCCCCATCATTGGTATCAGTGGGAGGAATAGTGCCCCATCATTGGTGTCAGTGGGAGGAATAGTGCCCCATCATTGGTGTCAGCGGGAGGAATAGTGCCCCCATCATTGGAATCAGTGGGAGGAATAGTACCCCATTATTAGTGTCAGTGGGAGGAATAGTACCCCATTATTGGTGTCAGTGGGAGGAATAGTACCCCATTATTGGTGTCAGTGGGAGGAATAGTACCCCATTATTCGTATCAGTGGGAAGAATAGTGTCCCATCATTGGTGTCAGTGGGAGGGATAGTACCTCATTATTGGTGTCAGTGAGAGGAATAATACCCCATTATTGGTGTCGGTGGGAGAAATAGTACCCCGTTATTCGTATCAGTGGGAAGAAAAGTGTCCCATCATTGGTGTCAGTGGGAGGAATAGTGTCCCATTGTTAGTGTCGGTGGGAGGAATAGTACCCCATCATTGGTGTCGGTGGGAGGAATAGTGTCCCATTGTCAATGTCAGTGGGAGGAATAGTCCCCCAAGGGCTAAATAAAGGCAAGCAAAGGGCTGCATCCGGCCCCGGGTTCGCAGTTTGGAGACCAGTGCTCTGTGGCTATAAGTTTGTGGACACCTCACCATCACATTCAATATTTGGCTGAACATTTTAGGACAACCCTTAGACTGTTTCCAGTGCAGGGTACTGTTACTGCTACAACATATAAAGACATTCTAGACAATTGTGCACTTCCAACAGTGTGAGAACAGTTTGGGGAAGACCCTTTTCTGTGCAGCATGATTGTGCCAAGACCCAGAACAAACGCCCACTGAAAAAATAGGGTCAATGTCGTATTTTATTTTGCAATTTGCCCTTTTTATGAAGGTGCTAAAATGTTTCTGCTACAGATCATCATTTTAAGTTTGGCACCACAAATATAAACAAACACAAATGTAAAAAAATTTACATAGAAACGAATAAGAAAAAAAATGCAAAAACTAATTCTGGTTCATGAACAAGCTAAAATTGTGATTTTTTTTTTTTTTTTCCTTTTTAATTTACACGTTTGAGCAATTCATAAACGTATGGCCTCTTTCTCACTGGACAGACTGCTCCAAGAGTCTGCTCACTCCAGAGGGGATCTGTCCGCTGATCCCCACTGAGAGGAGCATGCCTTGTCCATGCCTCCGCTCCTTTATGGGAGATCGGATGTAAGCGGATCGTCTGTCCATTTAGACCCCAACTGCCATCCAATACAATCCACTAGACCAGGGGTGGGCAACCTGCGGCTCTCCAGCTGTTGCAGGACTACAAGTTCCATCATGCCTCTGCAAGTCATAGCTGTAAACTGTCAGCTTTGCAATGTCTCATGGGAACTGTAGAGTCATGCTTGTAACTTCCGGTCTTTGCAATGCCTCATGGGAAATGTAGTTCCACAACAGCCAGAGAACCACAGGTTGCCCACCCCTGCACTAGACGGAATGGGAACAGACCTTTATACCCCCAACTGCCATCCAATACGATCCACTAGACGGAATGGGAACGGACATTTATACCCCCAACTGCCATCCAATACGATCCACTAGACGGAATGGGAACGGCCATTTATACCCCCAACTGCCATCCAATACGATCCACTAGACGGAATGGGAACGGACATTTATACCCCCAACTGCCATCCAATACGATCCAGTAGACGGAATGGGAACGGACATTTATACCCCCAACTGCCATCCAATACGATCCACTAGGCGGAATGGGAATGGACATTTATACCCCCCAACTGCCATCCAATACGATACACTAGGCGGAATGGGAATGGACATTTATACCCCCCAACTGCCATCCAATACGATCCACTAGGCGGAATGGGAATGGACATTTATACCTCCAACTGCCATCCAATACGATCCACTAGACAGAAGGGGAACGGATTCTCATCTGTCTGTTTTCAGTGGTAGGCTGATGTAAAGGGGCACATGTTAGTTTACACCCACCGCTCCAGAGTAGAATGGAGGGTCCAACCGATCAGGTCTGCCTGAAAAACTGACAAATGGGCCTAATT